TCTAAATTCCTACCTTAACCCCAGCCACACTGGCCTACCCTCCAGTCTCTAAAGTAGCGCTGGGCCTTTGCATGTCTGTGGGGGTTTTGGTTTTTTTGTGGTCTGGAGCTTCTCCATCTCCTTCTCTGCCTCCGTAGCTCTTACTCATGCATCAGATCTTATCTCATTACTCATTGCCGAGCCACCAAAGAGTCCTCATCTCATGCCTACATCCTTTTTATATGCACTCATAAATGCTATCTTTTTCCTGTTTGGCTCTCACCCTGTTTGGCATAAACCTTATCTTCTACTGCTTAATCAATCACCCCAAATTTAGTGGCTTAAAGCAACAAGCATTTTCTGTCGCAAACTTCCCAGGAACCAGGAGCTGGAAGCAGCCTGCCAGGTGGTTCTGGCTCAGTCTCTGATAAGCTTCTGGCAGCCTGTAGCCACCTGAAGTTGTGCCTAGGGCTGGAGGCTCTGCCCTGCTCCTTTCTTTGGCCATTGTCAAGGCCATCAATTCTAAGCCCTGGGCCTCTCCACTGCCACCTTGATTCTTCACAGCCCAGCAGCATACTCACCCCAGAAGAAAGGACAGGGAAGGCAAGCCATGCCTTCCGGCTTTGTCTTCAAGTCTGGCCCACTCCCTACATACTTATTAAAAACACATTTTTAAGTCAGATTCATACTATCAGGGAGAAGAATTGGTTTCCACTTTTTGAGGGAATTTTTTTAAGAAGTATTTTAAGCTGCCTTACACGATTACTTAAGTAAATATATGTCTTCTTTCCTAGACTAAGAATTTTGGGGGAATAGGTATAAAGAGAGGGGAAACTTGGTGGATTCCATGGCAGGTGAGGGTGACCAAGGCTGGGGAACAAACATGCCAGACAGACAGAACTTAAGTGAGAAGTTTTATTAGAAAGGGAAAGAGGGGAAGGAAACAGAAAAGAGGTGAAGAGACACAGAGACACAGAGAGGACAGAAGAGAAGAGGGAGACAGAAAAGTCTGTCTGCCCCAGAGGAACAGCAAGAAAAAGAGAGTGTGTAAGTGGCCAGGGGTATTTCTTTTAAAGGGGTCCTTTGAACCTCTGTAGTGATGGAACCCTGGGCTGACCAGGGTCCTGCCTGAGTGCATTCTGCCAGGTGACAGGGGCAGGCCAGCATCATGCCTGAGTCCTTACAACAGGACCCCCAACACACACCACTCCCACTGTTCTCTGCCAGAGGCCTGAAAGTGCGTAGGTGCCCAGTGATGCTGAGTGGATGGAAGGGAGGAGGGAGGGGTTGGAGGAGTAAGGGATGGGAGGCAAGGACAGAGAGATGGGGGATGTAGGGGTGACATGAGCGGAAGTGGGGGTGGTGGTATCTTTTTAACTGAATCCTAGATCGAGAGAATTTGGGGTAAACTATGGAACCTTAATTTTGATTTTGCAGCCTTAATTTTGATGTGGCCGGATTTGTTAAGTGTGTAATAGATTGGGGGGGGGGGGTAAGTTGCATTTGAATTTCAAGTCCCTTCTATTCCTTGTTCATATGGAATTGATGATAATGTACCCAAGCCCTCTGTGACTTAGGGAAACAAGCTCTGCCAGATCCAATAGATTTGGCCGCCGGCCATATTTGATCGCATTCTTTTCATGTCTGCACAAACTAAATGGCCCAGGAATAGCAGATCGTTTAGTAGAGTCATTGCAAAGTATAATGAGATTTTCACCCTTCTTTAATTCTAGCTCTAAGGCAAACACCTTCACACTATGACTAATAAGGTCTCTGTGTTGACTTTTGACGTTCTGTAATATTAACAATATTGCTATATCTTTCCTTCTACTTTTCCTTTTTGTGTCGCTGGGGGTTGACCACAGGGTCTCACTCAGTGCCAGGTGTTGTGCTGAGTCACAAGGATCCCCAAAGAGACAAAGATCCAAAAAAGGAGACAGACCACTGATGCAAATGCACAAGGTTTATTAAATTGTCTATCCTACCGAGGGAGGGACCCTGTCTAGCAAGCTGATACAGCAGCCTCCAGAGGGGGTGAAGTTCCCTGTCTACTGCTAGGTTTTAAAGACAAAAGTTACAGGATTACATCAGTAAGGTACCAGTTGGTTTCTGATTGGTTGACATTTGGAAACAATCAGGAAAATTTCTCAAAGTCATATTTTGGCATGAAATACCTGTGTACCAGGTATTCTCATTGGTCAGTGCTGAGAGGGGACATTCTGTGGTTTCTATGGCTTTGTCTTGTTACTTGCAGGTGGCCTGTTGTTCATAGATACCAATAGTTTTTAGAACTGTATTCTGGAGACTATAGGGAAGGTTTTGGTCTCCTCTGGAGTTTCTTTTGTGGCTAAACAGTTCCCAGGACCCAAGTACCTAGGAGGCTATGGGATGGGGGATCTGGAATTTCTTTATGTTCAGTTTTGGCCCTAGGCTCCGGGAGGCCAGAGGATCTGGAGTTTCCTTGTGTTACAGGCCTAAGTGTCTTTTCTGTAGCCTGTCATGGCTGCTAAAGCAGAGACTGAGTGAGGGTCTGGTCCCTTCATTCCTGGAAGTGAAGCCTTTTAGTTTAGTTTTCCCCTTTCACCAGGCAAGTACTATACCGTGGCTTTCTAATGTGAAGATGGCAAATTCTCGTGGTCTGTAGTAGCCGGGTAATACGCCGTAAGATGTGTGGGAGGTTGTCAAAAGAATGACAAACCCTGCCTTTAGCTTTCTCAGACATGCAATAAAATAGATGTTTTGTAGATGGAAGTTTCTGTCCTGCCCAGTGCTACAGTCATTTAGTCCCAAATAAGCACACAGGTGTTTACATTCATTATAAACTGTTTAGCCTATTGCTCAGGCTTCTTATTGGCTAGCTCTCTATTAATTATTAGCCCATTTCTATTAATCTGTGTATCTCCATATGGTCTTGGCTTACTGATGATTCCGGATCTCTTGCTTCCTTGGCAGCAACATGGCATCTCCCTGACTCTGCCTACTATCTTTTTTTATTTCTTTTAATCCCTGTTTGGATTTCCCACCTGTCCATTGGCTGAAACAGCTTTATTCAGCAACCAATAAGAGAAACATATATTCACAGCACATAGAAGGGCAACCCCCATTAATATTTCATGTTTTAATAAACCAGAATCTACAGAAAACACATACACTCAGGGCAAAGTTTGCTTCAGAGGAACAAATATGTATATTTTGGAAACATTGGGTAAAGGTTCTCATTGAGACCAGCAGGGTTTCAAGTGCTATTCATACTACGATTCTGGGCCATAACCCAAGTGACATCCTGTGGTGGTTTGAATAGGAATAACCCTCATGGGTTTCAGTGCTTGGTCATTAGGGAGTGGAGCTACTTGACAGGGATTAAGGTGTGATCTTGCTGGAGGAGGTGTGTCACTGGGGGTGGTGGGCTTTAGGGTTTCAAATGCTCAAGTCAGACCCAGTATCTCCCTTCCTGTGCCTGCCAGTCTGGGTGAAGAACTCTCAGCTCCTCTCCAGCACCATGTCTGCCTGCACGCTGCCACTCTTCCTGCCATGATGACAATGGACTAACTCTCTGAACTGTAAGCCAGCCCCAATTAAATGGTTTCCTTTACAAGCGTTGCTGTGGTCACCGTGTCTCTTTACTGCAATAGAACACTGACTAAGGCACATCTCAACAGTTTTACCTGCTCTAATATCCCTCCTGCCAGAGTGGGGACTTAGGCCCTATTTCCCTGCCCTTCATCCTCTGCATTAGGTCATGACTGCTGAGTTCTAAAGATGTATGCGGTGACTGAGCCCAAACCCAGTGTGTGAAGCTTAGTGAGTCACTCTTCTGCCATCCTGTGAGCCCTAGAACTATGTAAATATGGTAAGATCTCCTTCCTGTTAGTACTTCTAAGCTTCACAGTTACTACAAAACAAACAAAAACAGGGTCTAGCCAGAATCACAGAGTTTTGTTTGTTTGCTTTTGCTTTGGGTCAAATATTAAAGCAACAAAAGGTCTTCCGGCTTCACAGCGGTAAAGACCTGCAGAAAAAGCTTCATCTCTGTAAGAGGGAGGGAGGCCTCACAGCCTCTGAACCACACACGAATCAGCCCCTGGCTTCCCAGTCTGTGCCCAAGAGACCCAGTGATTTGTTCAGCATGAGGAAACGTCACTCTTTGTCCAGTAGACATGTCACTGAATGGGATAACTCATTCTTGGGCTCTGGCCTCCATACTAGTATTGTTCTCTACCCTAATTGTGGCAACCAAAGAAAAGGGGAAGCAAGATGTTTCAGCAAGTGATTGCTGCCAAGCCTGAGGACCTGGGTTCAACCCCAAAGAGCTACACGGTAGAAAAAGAGAAGTGATCCAAAAGTTGTCCTCTGACAACCACATGGGCACCTTAGCCCTTGCGCACATGCATGCACATGCAAACACACATGCATGCACACAAACACACAAATAAAAAATATATTTTCAAAAGGAAAGAAATGTCTCTAGACACTGTCAAATATCCCCTAGGTAGGCATCACGCCTGGTTGGGAACCACTGTCTGTATCTATGGTCATTTAGTGCCTCATAGTCAGTACAAGTGCTCTAGTTTTAGGACGACCTCATAGGCAGTATTAGTGTGTAACAGAAATATAACAGGATATGTAATAAGAATAATATTGGTATTTTATTGTGGAAGATTACTAACACCGAAAACCCAGGTTAGTCTCGCCAACCTTTCAAGACCCTACTCAAACCCTAAAAGAGAGCCAGCGCCTCCTACATAGTTCTTTATCCCACCTTCTATGTACCTGTGAGCACGCTCAAAAGGGCGTGGTCAGCACTATAGGTATGAGGGATTACTCCCTACATTAGTGCTCTGAGTATTTTAGGACCTTGTAGTCAGTATTAGTGTTCTGAGTATTTTAGACGAGAACCCCAAGTGTTTGCCTAGAAAAGGACTTCACTTCATTTTCAGCACACACAGCTGAGAATAAATTCTAACCAGGGCAACTCTTAGCACAAAGGACTTAAAAATGAAGCAAGACACGGGGCTGCACTTTTGATCCATGTTTAATGAAAAAGAAGTCATGTAAATAGAAATGGACACAGAACAGTGGGTGGGAAAGTGTGGTTGCTGGAACGAAGGGAAATCATTTTACCCCTGAATTCACAAGCACATTCCTGTCGGTTCCTACTGATCTAACACATTTCCGGAACCCCAAACACTCCACTGGTCTTCCACAGACACTCAACCAAGTAGTGTCTGAAGGGTTTCTTTCCACTTTCCCCAGGCCCAGATCCCCCAGACACACACAGCCAGGGCGAATGTATCCAGTGCGCGCTAACACGGAGTGAAGAAAGCGCAGCCGCCTTGATTCTTTATAACACAGCAAGTCAACACTGGCCAGTGAGCTTTGGCATGCACACGATGGCTGCTAACATTTTCATGAGAAAGCACTTAGGCTAGGAAACCATTTATTCTTAGGACAATCAATCACTGGAGAAGCACATCTGACTCAACCAACTTCACTTATGTGGAAAGAAGTTTCTATGGTTTGCCATTGAAATATGCAGACTTGAAAGATGAAAAGGCATAAAATTTTAAAATTTTAAAATTTTAAAATGCCCAGATGTGAAACTACAGTGAATATCCTGCTGACTTGTTTTATGGCTCATGATTTTCAGTGGGACCAGTCAATATCCTATTTCTATTATTTTCTACTCTAATGTATAGTATGATCATATCTTTCTAACTAAGAAATATATATATGTATACATAAATCTTTGGAAAAGAACTCTGATCTCTGAAAATATACACTGGTGGTGATAGCTTTGTATTAATGGCCTCAATTAAAATAAAATATCCCTCTTTCAAGCTGGAAGCTAGGCAGCACTAAACTCATTCTAGACATTTGCCATGTGGGTGATAAAGAGAAGCAGCAGATTTTGCTCTCTGTCCCTTTAAGATACAAATCTTGTTGGCTGGTGCATAGCAGCCAGAAACCTTGTGTGCTCACATTTCATCGGCTGATGTTAGGAGGAGCCCTGCCTCTTCTGATACTGGATTCTGAGTTTCTCTAGCTGTTGTACGCACTGGGACTGGGCCATCTTCAGCGTCCGGTTCTCCTCTGTCAGAGCCTCAAACTCTCGAACCAGCTGAGCAGCATCCCTCTTCTCCTTTTCTGCCTGGTCCAGCTTAGCAATGAGCTCCTTTCTGAAAGTCAGGGCACAGGGCAGGAAGCACAGGCGTCATTGCAAACATACCTAGCAATCTGCACTCCTCACTCAGCTCTTCTCGGAGTGCACGTCCCCTTCTGGCCGCCAATGACACACCTTTACTTTTCCCTCTTGCTTTCTTTCTCTTCCCTTTTCTTTAGGTATCTTTATTTATTTATTTTTATTAGCTCACAAAGCAACAGGTTTCCTTCCACATGGGAATTTCATACATTTCTCACTGTCCCCTCATCTCCCTTCGCTCTTTCTCCCACTGTGCCCTGCGGCCGCCAGGCGACCCTTCCGCTTTGTTCTGTTGTCTTCTCCACACTTCCCTGACAGCCTTCTCTTCCACTCTCAGGGGCCACTTTCCAGATCCCCTAAAAATGCTTTTAAGCATTTACATCCTCCTGGATTTGTGTATTTAACAGTTAGAAGTTAGGACCCACACAGTGCTTGTCCTTCTGAGCCTGGGTAGTTAGGACTCACAGCATTCTGAACCAGGCTTACATGGCTTGCTATGCTTTCCAGTCCCAGCCATTTGCCTGAAAATTTCATAATTTCATTTTTCATTGAGTAAACTCCACTGTGTGTATGAACCACACTTTCGTTATCTGTGTATCTGCTTGTGGCATAGAAGCTGGTTCTATTTCCTTGCTATTGTAAAAAAAAAAGCCATGATCGGCATGGACAGGCAAGTGTCTTTATAGCAAAATAGACAGTCCTTTGGGTATGTGCCCAGGAGAGGTAACCAGGTCATAGCTAGTTCTATTTTTAGTTGTTTTTTTTTTTTTTAAAGCCTCTCACTGGTTTCCATGGTGGTTGCAGTAATTTACACTCTCATCAACAGTGGATGAGATAGGACCTCACTCTACAGACCCAAGTTGGCCTGGAACTCACTATGTAGCCCAGGGTGACCTTAAAATGTATAGCAATCCTCCTGCCTCAGCTTCCCAAGTGCTGGAATTATAGTTGTGAACTACAATACCTAAGTACTGGTCTTCTGTTTGTGTTTTAATCTATCCCAGTTATAAGTTTTAGGACCTTTTACTTAGCACCTTCATTAGACACATCCAATGTGGCTTTCACCTGCCAAGCCATATCACTGTCCTGTGATCTTATTGTGGAATATTTGTTTAACTATGCAAAAAATGTGTTGCATTTGTTTAACTATGTAAAGATGTGTTGCGTTTGTTTAAGTTGCAGAATATTTGTTTGACTATGTAATGATGTGTTGCTTTGTTTAATGATATAAAGATGTGTTGCTGTCTTGCCTTGCCTGCCTAAGGCCCCTGACTGAGCTAATTAAAAGCTGAATGGTCAATAGTGAGGGAGGTGGTATATGCAGAACTTCTGGGCAGGGAGAGTAACCAGGAGGGGAAATTTAGGCTGGGGGAAGGAAGAAAGGGAAATACCAGGGAGACACCAGGGGCCAGCCAGAAAGACATGGAGGAAGCAGGAGAGTAAGACATACAGAATGAAAGAAAGGTAAGAAGCCCCAAGGCAAAACATGATGAATAGAAACAGGTTAAATGGTTAAATGAAGTTTAAAGAGCTAGCTAGTAGGACAAGCCTAAACTAAGGCTGAGCATTCATAATTAATAATCAGTCTCTGTGTCTTTATTTGGGAGCTGGTTGGTGGCCCAAAGAAAATGCCAACTACATGATTTATTTTTTGTTAAGTGCAACAAATTAAGTGTTGGCTGCTTAAAAGTCAAAACAGTGATGCATTTCTGTTTCTGAGAGAGCAAATATCAAAGTTTTTAAAAAAGTGCAACAAGTTATTAAAACTATTATTTTACAAAGGAATGAAAAGGCCATCAGTTACTAATACAGTACACACTAAGGCCCTGCCTTCTGTCTTGTGGGGGTGGAGGGAGCTACTTTGTCTCTTATTGGATCTTTGCCCTTGGAACTCAGTGCTTAGCTTCCTTTGTTTCTGTAGATCTCAGTTTAACAAATCTTCATGAGGGGCTGGAGCTGGAGTTCAGTGGCAGAGCTTACCAGGCATGCTCCACACCCTGGGTTGGATCCTAAGGCTATTATTTCCCATGTCTTTCTCTAGTCCTCACACTTACACAGTAGGACCTTAACACCCATCAGGCATTGGATCTAGGTCTCCCATGGATCTGCTGATGCTCAAATAAAATGGCATAATATTTTTATGTAACCTGCACATATCCTTCTAGATAATTTACAATGCCTAATACCACATGTATGCTATGTGAAAAAAATTAAAATGCTATTTTGTATTATTTGAAAAATGGGACAAGGAACACACTCTAACTACACAGCATCTTGATGTACAGTTGGTTGGATCATGGATGTAGACCCCTGCACAGGAAGAACCACATTCCTGAAAGTATTTTCTCTTTCTTCTTACACTAGCCTGATACTATATAAGATAAATAGAAGAATGGAAAAATATATTTCTACAAATAACAATATTTATGTTTATATTGGAAATAAGTCAGGGAGACTAGAGCAAGAACCTTTTCTGATCACAAACCCTATCTGTAATGTTCCAATAACCCATAGATAGAAGATGACATGATTGACCTGTTCATTTATAACTCCTAAACCATTTGAGCATTTAAGACTATTAGTTAAAAATTAGATGTAATGGATACATGCCTGTAATCCTGGCCCTGGGTGGCCTGAGGCAGAGACTTGTTGTCAGCTAGGTTACAAAGAGACACCCTACTTTAAGAACTAAAAAGAATAATTACTACTAGTTCACACACACACACACACACACACACACACACACACACACACACGTTTGGACACAAATCCAAACTAGTTCAACAAATGCATACTGTGGTGAATTAAGTACGTGTTAGTGTATTCTGCGTATTATAAAGCATTCTCAAATATGGATCTGTGATGAGATAACGCCGGGCACTAGAACAAGTGGGTAAAAGAAAAGCTGATGAGAAGCAACATGTTCACTTGTCCTGCAAAGGGTAGAAGAGTGGACAAACCTGGGTAACTTCTTCAAGCCAATCAACAGCATTGCTGTCACTACTGAGGAGACAAACAGGTACCACGTGCCCTTGAGGAACATGCATTGTATCTGTGGCCTTGCCTACCCAACCCAAAATGCACACAATACATCTAAACATGAGTCATATTAGACAATACAAGAAAAAATATCCCTCATTGTTCAGGAAGAACAAAGCACATTTTGGGAAATTTTTAACTGTAAGTCCAGTAAAGGACACATTTTGTATCTTCAGTTTGTTTGAAACCATCAAAATGATCTCCAAACGGGCAAAGGTTAGATCAGAAGAGAAATTCTAGTGTTTTCTTCCTATGCCTGATAGACTCCCTTAGTCTTTGGTATTAGCTGAGCAAAACCAGTATGGTAAGAGAAGGACCCAGCAGGACCAAGGGGGAGGGTGGGGAACACACAGGCACATACACTAAGTTCTTGAGCTCCAACTGATCTCTGGGTCTTCCAAGATGTTTAAAATAGAACAGGCTCCCAATAAATATTTGACGAATGAATAACTGAAGAAAAAAAATGTACTTCAGGGAAAGATCATTTATATCTTAAAAGAAAGAAAGCCTAACTCAAAGTACTCCATCTAATTAAAAAGCCACACAGCTAATAAGAAAAGGCAGCCATCAAGCCTGTCATGATTACATGCTCAGTGCTCTGTGTCCCTGAGCACAGTTAAAGCAGAAAATGCTAATAATTAAATATTGATCAGTAAAAGTTCTCTTGTAACTATCTTAAAGAAATTAATGAGAGAGAAAAAAAAATCCCAAAACCTACATGTGGCTGAGAAAGAGAACTGCTGCAAATCCTCCACGAATTAGGTCATCCCTGGTCTGGCTGGGGTCCCCTGCCCACCTTTACCATTTAGTTCTAGAGTTCGGCTTTCACTGCACGGCCTGGGGGTGGGTAGTACCACATCTACGATGGCTGTTTTCCTGAATCCTTGTTTGACTTCAGTTAATCCCCTGATGCCATCTGTCTGTCTTCTGTTTTGGTTTTTAGAGATGACTAACCACAGAATCACTGACTTTATAACTGCAGGGAATGGGTGAGACTATTCCCATCACTCTGCAATAGAAAATGTCAATAATAATTTCTTCTTTACTACAATCAAGAAGGCTCGGCTGATAGGTTTCCAAATTGGCTTCATGTAAGTAATTATATCGACATCCAATAAAAACAGGCAAGATGTCTGCTGTCTCCTGTTTGGGACTTATTTATTTAGACACATTTATGTTCATCCATTAGCTAGTCATGGGTAAGCCTCAGCACACCAAACTACTGAAACTGTTTTATACACAGATGATTTCAAGAAGAATTCAATATTTACAATGAATGAGGCAAAATATGATCCCAGCTTTTGATTTTTCTGGCTACCATGTCTATCACTCATTCAATGTCATAGGATGTGGGGTGGAGGGCCATAGCTACAGGAATCTCACTTTGATGCTAAGAACCTCTAGCATAACACTCTACGTGATGAATCTCAGCAGTCACCCATAGGATCTACCACAGATCATCAGATGCTCTCATCTTAAGCCACAGACCTGGAAAAGTTTTACTTGTAAAGAAAAAAAAAAGAGAGCGAGAGAAGTTGAAGTGTTAGGACAGAGAAGATGAAAAGTGTGTGGGAATTAATTTCAAAATGTAGGAAATTCTTTAGTTTCCAAAAAGCTGATTCATTGATGGTACAAATATTTTGTGATCTAGGAAGATGACTATTGGGGTGGAGAGATGACTCAGATGTTAAAGACTAGGCTCACAACCAAAAATACGAGAGTGGGAAGATCACTATCAAGGTTCTCAGTGCTTGCAAAATTAACTGAGCATTTTTATTGAGAAAAAGTTAAAATTCTAGATGGTTTGGCTCTGATGGGCTAACGGTAAACTTTATTAAAAAAAAAAAAGAATCCTTGAGTTGGTGGTACTTGCATGTTCAGAGGCCCATATTTATATAGGAGAGGAAAAACAGACTCCTCAAGATGACTGAAGGATCTTCCCTCCTTTTTTTTTTACAATGGAAAGATAACAAATGGTGTTGAATTGAGGCTTCCAAAATTCAATCTGGCGATGGCGCTGAACACTCATGAATAGTAAATGCATACATGTACTAAGATATGAGGAGGCAGAAGCTGGTGGGGGGGGCGCAAGATTGAGTCTAAGCAAGGGTTTGTCCAATTTTAGTCTGATTGACAATTAGGCCTGAAGAGTCTATCCTAGACAATGGCATTGGAGGGGCCTCAGCATCATCCTTGGCTTTTACTCACTAGATTCTGGATAACAACTTCCTCACATCCTGGTCGTGAAGTCATTTTTCTCTGGATATTATCCAGGTCCTGGGTTGGAGTTGGGGGAGGAAAGGCCCCTCGTGAGATACACTGCATTAAATAAAGAAAGCTGCAGGACTTGCTCTGTCAATCACTAGGAGCTGATCCTGAGATGGGGATAAGGCAAAAAAGAAGATGCTTCCTTGTTCTGCTCCTCTGGAGATTGCATTGGTGCTGCCTCCTTGGTAAAGGAAATGACTTAATGATATACTCATTAAGGGTATATACATGGCATGTCCCTTTTAACAAGGTCTCAGGCAGAGGGTAAGAGAATTCTAGTCAAGAGACTGGACAGCCCTGGGTTAGATGGTGTTAGAGACCCAATTGTTATGACTGGGGCATTATGACTGGAATGTTGATCCTCAACAAAAAATACTAGCTATTTAAATGAAAAAAAAAAACAAAAACAAAACAAAAATCCTCTTGGCCCTTCCTCTGCCTCCTCAAGCAAAGCTTTCAGCAATCAATTTCCAGGGTTCTCTAGTCTCTTGCCCAACAAGCATTACATCCAAGCTCAGACCAGGCAGTGTGTTTATTCTCATTGGTGGGTTGGTCTTGGGAACCACATACTGCTGGGAAATGACTTCCAATCCCATACTTTACCCAGGAGGGAAGCTGCACACATCAGACATCATGAGAAAGAGCACGCTGTGTGCCCGCCTACTATTACCAACACCTGTGGGACATACCACTCTCATTGTTTCTTTATGACCATGAAAACACAATTTCTAAACTGAGTAAATGTGTAAGACCCATATGCCTGGAGTACAGCTCGAGGTTCCAGTCTCCTTGTGTTCACATTACACAACCTTTTTCCAAATCTCACCCGATGAGTGTGGTAGTGCAGATAAAAGTGGCCTTTCTCTGCTCACTCTGTGACAGTGGCCTACTGATATCCTCTCCATGCCCAAACTTTGAGAGACTTCCCCAGAACTTGGCTTCAAAATATTTCTTCGAAAATGATCTAAGGCAACAAATGTTTCTATTTAAACACAAAAATCTCTGCTGGCAGTTTCAGAATGAGTTAAATACCATGACAAAACACAAACAAAAAGAGGACTATTTTTACATTAAAGTTTTACAAGTAGCCCAAGTACCCCTTCCCACATTTCAATATTCCCCTAGATAAGCTATTGTTCTCCACAATCGCTTTACATATTTTAATAAGACATAAGCATGCAGGTCTTAAAATGTCTGTGGGTTCCTAATACAAAAAAAAAAAAATCCCTCTAATGCTTCACTTGAACCCACTAAAGTTGTGTGATCCTCTTACGAAATAATTAAAAAGAAAACCCTCTTAAAATTGGGCAATGTATCTAAACAAATATTTCCCCAAGAAAACAGAAATGGCCCAGAAGTGCATAAAAGTTGTGCAACATCATAGCCACCAGGGAAATGTAAATCAAAACCACAATGACACATCATTGCCATCTCCTAGCGTTGGTATCCTCAGAACGGAGCAAGCACATGAGGACATGTGCAACGATTAGAACTCTTCACACATGTTTATAGCGGCATTATTCAAAATACTGAACAGTACAAACAACCCAGGTGTACATTAGCCAACAGACGGCATATAAGATGTGGACAACAGGATATTATCCACAGATAAAAAGAACAAAGCACTGGTGTGTGATACGTGGATGAACTTGAAACATTACTCTTGTGAGAGTCACATCAAAACCCATTACACGATTACAATCACTGAAAAAATGTCCAGCAGCAAGCTGATAGGCACAGGAAACAGGTTTGTTTGCTAAAATGGCTAGGAAAGAGGGACAATGAGAGGGACTGCTTAAGACTACAAGATTTCCTTCTGAGCTGATGAAGATCATCTACAACCACGATGACGGCTACACAACACTGAAACCCTGCAGAGCCCTAAACTGTCAAACAGAAAAGTCCATCTTTTATAACGATCTTTTTCTGTTATCTTTTCAGGGAGGTTCGTATAGAGACCAGAAAACTGCTTTCTCCACCAGACAAGATAGGATCATGTCTAGAACTCAGCAACCTTTATAGCTGGTTGTAGTTTAATTGGATATTTTAAATCATTTCTGTCTATCAGTGCTAGATTTCTAAAGCTATATGATGGACAAAAGAAGCTATGTATACTGAGTGAAAATTCTTGGAAGATGTATCAGAAAGATATGTCATGCTATAATATATGCAATTATAAGGAATATGGTCACATATAAAAAGATATAGATGCTCCAACTAACGTAGGAACTGACTCTATACATCACTGGTCATAAGCCAGAAATGAATTTAAACAAATAGGATTTATCCCATGGTGAGTAAACTGTGAAAAGCTTTGACTATCTTTATCCACCCAATGGACTTGCACAGTAAGAGTTCTATCAACTCTGCCTCTCGCTGTAAGTGGTCCCAAACTTGATCCAGGGAGACCTCCTCTGGAGATATGAGAGAAATTCAGTCTCAAGTTCAAACATCAGGCTGTGCACTGCACACACAATTCCAATAAAGAAAATATCGCTTTTAAAATACTTTAGAATCTTTGTGTCTCACTTGCATGAGCCAGTTGTCAAAGGCATCAAAGTCAGCCACACTTTATGAAGTGTTGGGAGAGAAATTCACATCAGAATCATTTTTTTAATGGAATGCTAACTTCGTGGGTCAAATCCATATGGCCTGATTTATCTTGCTTGAAAACAAAGACTTCAGAAAAGGATCTGTTACAAAATGAACCACTGGCTCACTATAGCATAATGAAAAAACAGTACAGCTAATAGCCCTTAGAGAACGCACTCTATACAGTAACGACTCTAACCACACTTGTGATTTAACAGTTATCTTAGTAACCCTTACTGGTATCAATGCCATATTTTAAATACAGGACCATAGCAATACAAAGAGAATATGTTTATGCAGAGGACATTACTGCAACCTATAATGGGCTACCTTAAATCAACCTCATTCGTATTTGACATCTATGATCAGCTCCACAGTGGATGATAAGGAGACAAAGAGATGCTAAAGAAAGCAAGTGCAGGGGGGGGGGTTCCCACAGGAGAGACAGAGCATCGTAAAGACAGGGATAAACTTAAACATGATTACTGACAGCATTAGCTTACTGAAAGTTCAAAGGGTCATTCAGCAGCTCTTCCATAGCCGAGGAAAAGATCTGATCACCACAGGCAAGGGCATGGGCTGGGCCTTCCTACAGGAATTGCTGCCAGTGGAGCAGACACAGACAGGACCCAGCTCCATCCTGGGAAAGAATAGGACTATGCAATTGAGGCAGGGTCAAGGTAGGAAGTTCTACAGAGGTTCCTAGGCATATTGAGGTATGTGGCTACAACACTGGACACTCTCAGAAGTCACACTGTGCTGACAAATGCATCCTAAAAAATCTGGACAGCTTATGGAGACTCTACAACCCAAAAGAAAGCCTTGGATTTGAAAACTTGTGTTTTCTGATTTCTTGACAGTTTTTAATCCCATATAGCCAAAAGTCCAAGTCAATTTTTGTGTCTGAAGTGAAGCAAAGCAGGAAATTTAGAAAAGGCTGAGTTCATTTGGTAAATGCAGTAGTCTGCTTACCAAATCCACAATTTATAGATATCCAACCTCTATATTGCAGTCTTCATGAGTCCCAGAATTTTCTTAAACAAAACACATTTCACCTTCATTCAGGTAGAAATTAAGCAATAAATACATTGCGACACTGCAGTAAGATGAAGGGGAAGAAGAAATACAATGTTAAAAAAACTGTCCTGCTTGTGAGTTCTATTTCATGCCCAGGCAATAATGTGTGTAACACTTAGGTGCACATAATGGACTAGGCTTCTTCAGGAACTCAACAGTGAGCAATGCCTCTGTAGCTATGTTTTAATGTGATCACTTCGTAGTCAGATGTGTAAATACTACCAACAGGTCTCCCTGGTAAGTGTGTTATAACAAACTGGCCAGTGGATGAAGACACAGCGCTTACTTTGATGCTTTTCAGGAATAAAAAAGTAAGAGTCACTAAAGATAGATGCTGGCAGAACTGAGTGCAAATAAAATGGGTTTTGTGGAACAGTCAGTAAAATTAAAGTGCTTTAATTAATTGAACTGTATAACTTTCCATAGCAGACCTGTAATGATAATAAATGCTATCATGATTAAAAAAAAAAAACTTGCTAGGACTATAAAATGTAATTAGGCAACTAATGCATTTACATAACTCTAAAAAGGGTTTTCATTTAATGTGGGACCTCTCCTCTTTAAACATCAATTAAAATTCACCCCAATCCAAAGTGCCCTGAGGCTCTGGGTAGAACCATAGAGAATATGGAATGGCTCTGGACGGTATTTTGGTAATTTTTAATTTCTTTAACTAAAATATCTCATTTAAAAAACAATTAAGTTCTGAGTAGAAGCCTGCCCACAGCTCTCTTTCCTAGGCCGAAGGTAGAAGGACTTGATCTACCCAAGGGCTGTTGCTAGTTCTTAAAATCCCTTCCCTTCCCACCGGCCCACCGCAGTCTCTGCTTGGTAGAAGCAACTGGGTGGCCAAGTACTTACTTCCTTTCCTCAAGCAAGGCGATCTCTTTTTTGACCTCATGGTACTCCTCTGCTATTTGGCAGTGCTGTTTAAACACCTGCATGGATTCTACGGAGTCGTGACACGGCGGCAGAGGCTGCACAGACAAAGAGAAGCAATCAGTCCATTGCAACAGAGAGCAGCACCGATAATGAACATGGCACAAAGTCGAGCGACTTCTATTTGAGGGAACATAGAGAGATGATCGTGCTGACATGGGCTTTCCTGTGACATTCGTGGGCATCTCGTCCCAGAGCCCTGAGACCCACTGGCTACACGTCGGCTACTTGCTATGTGTAGATGAAAAGTAAGTTTCCCATTGATTTGTGATCCTCCTTGGAAATTGTTAACTGCTTCAGAAAAGATCAGGGGAAACACTCCTGTTGTCTGTTTCAATTCCCCTTTTTGTCTACGCCCATGGTCCCGAGGCACAAGCCCAGAACAGCTGTCATCTGTGAAGCTGCTCAGCTCCGAGAAGACCAGACCCCTAAACCCTGCTTATGACACATGAGGCTGAACAGAGAACAGATTTGCATTTCTTCTTTCCTGCCATCAATAAGGAAAACAGGTCCACGTGGCAAACTTTTCTACATACAGCATGAAAAAAAAATTCCAACCTCCAGAAATCATTTTTAACTAAAACCGCCATGAGTTTTTGTTCTTATTTCCACATCAGCCATGTGTGATTTAAAACATACCACTTAGAATGACAGTTAATTGTCTTTTAAGGAGTTTTTAAATCACCCCCTAATTACTTATGTGGAAAAAATTGTCAAATCTGAGAAGCATGGAAGTTTGTTGTTGAACAAGTTCTTTGGTCCTATCTGTCACTAAGATCCATGTAGGTAAACTGTCTTACTAGGTACGACTATCACTCACCTATACTAGTAAAGTGTGAACTGATGGATTTCTTATCTTACTATTTGGTCCAAAGTTCTTCAAACACACTAATTTTGGGGGGTGTCACATTTACTCGGTAAGTAACAGCAATTCAGTAAAGTGTGTGTTCAGGCTGACAGCTAAGAGGATGCTTCTCGCTCTAGGAAGTGAAATTCTAAACAGACATACGCATTACTGACAAGTCACACTGAACATTTTGATATTTGCAATGAATACAAAATAATCATAATAAGTTGCACAGTGTTCTCCAATTCTGATTAGGACAAACTCTACATCCGTGTGAAATCCTCAGTTGTCACTTAATTCATGTGGAATCTAACACTAATCACGTTTTGTAGTGTCTTTCCCCGATCCCTAGGAACACATTCACGGCATCAACCCAGCCGACTGCAACTGCTATCCTTTTCAATATAGAAATAATTGGAAAACCAGAACACAGTAGTATGACAATATAATTCACCCCAGGAGGCGAAGCCGTGCCAAAGGAATTCAGAACTCCTGGCTCCTCCAGCCTGTGTCCCAGAAATCTCAACCCATCGTCCATTTTCACCTGTTCTCCTGGCAGGTTCCCAGGTGTAACAGAGAGCAGAATGAAAGCAACATACCCCAGGCTCCCAAGCCAAGCTTTTAAATCATCTGTGCCCTGTTAAAGAACTGGCCTATTGGCAGCCATGAGATTACACATGCCGTCCTGCCCTCAGGAACACCACATAAGCCACATCTGTTCAGGCGGGATTCAGCACGTCGCTTGCCACCTGCAAGTACGTGAACTGCAAATTTAGCAGCTACCTAATGTCATAGCCAAAAGAGTTAAGGTTCTGCATGTCTGGGAGAACAAAGATGGCAGCATCCAAGGCAAGCATTGCACTTTCTGCTGTGCTTTAAGAAGAAAACTGAGGGCTGGAGAGACGGCTCAGAGTCTGAGAGCACCGGCTGCTCTTCCACAGGTCCTGAGTTCAATTCCCAGCAACCACATGGTGGCTCACAGCCATCTATCATGAGATTTGGTGCCCTCTCCTGGTGTGCAGGCAAATATGCAAACAGAACACTGTAAACATCATAAAGAAAAATAATTTTAAAAAGAAGAAAACTGAAAATCATAAGTACACTCTCTTTAAGAGAGGGCGGTTCCTCTCTCCTCCTTCCTTTGCTTGGCACCTTGCCAAGCAAATAACTGGGATTTTTCTCCCATGACTTTGGTTTTGTGTTTTTTAATTTTATGAGTTTTTTAATTTACTTGTGTGTTTGTCTATGCACATGCACGCAATGCCTGAGAAGCCAGAAGGCGTCAGATCCCCTGGAACCCGAGTTACAAACTGTTCTGGGGATGCTGGGGCTGGAACTCCCACCCTCTAGGGGAGCAGCCACTGTCCTTAAGTGCTGAGCCATTTCTCCAGCCCCTCTCCTTCTGTTTTTATTTGCACTTTAGCATGCTACCACTAAGTGACATCTCTAGGCCTTTTACATTTTTATTTTTGGACAGTATCTTGCTAACTTGCACAAGCTAGCCTTGAGTTCATGCATAGTGTATTCCAGGTGATCCTTCAACCTGTCTCCTCAAACACCAGCCCCTCAAGCAGCTGGGATTACGGATGTACACCACTGCATCTGGCTAACTGGCATCTATTAATTGTAGAAATTAGATATTGTATTTTGGAAGAGGAAGGAGACCTGTGGGAGAGGCGAGGAACAGGTGAGGGTAACAGGGAAGGTGAATATAATCAAAGCACATTATGTTTATCAATGAAAATGCCATAATGAAGCCTATTTTTTACAACTAATATCAGTTTTAAAGACTACTTGAAAGGATTTTTTTTTTCCCTAGGCAGTGTGGTCATACTACTAAGGGCATGTGTGACCAGCCAGGCAGCTGAACTGTATACTTGGAATTGTCGTCCATGTTGATGCAAAGGTAGTTTTCTATGCTCCTTTCCCCCTCTCTGGCCATCTAAGATGCTTTCCTTACCAAGTCTGCTGGCCAGGGCTCATTTCATTTCTACTCAGCCAGGGAACTTCACATTTCTCACCGCTTTAAAACTTCAAGACATTCACTGCTAGCCAAAAACGTTGCTGGGCAAATCAACACATTTACGGGTCAGCAGAATCAATTGTCGTCTGAAGACAGTAGACATTATCCCAGCCCAGAAAATTCATTGAAGAATTTGTTTACCTGCATGCAGTTTGCATCCCGAGAGAAATTCCAATCAATGTAAGTTTTATAACTAATGGAATCTAGGATAATGACGTGCTACTCGGTGCCTCCTAAAACTCATTGCCATTTTTTTTCAAACAGGTTCTCATGTCACTAAGCTGGCCTTGAACTGACTGTGTAGCTGAGGAGGACCTTGAATGTCTGATCTCCCTGGCCCTACCTCTGGGTGCCACCACACTTGGTGTATGCAATGCTGGAGATTGAACCTGGGCTTTGTTATGGAAGCAGGGTTCCAACTGAGCTCCAACCCAAGCCTCCCTGTTGCCCCATAAAATAGATGTGTACTGCTGTTAGTCCCCCACGGATGGCAGCTCTCTTTGGCCTTCTCAGAGTCCCTCAAAAGACGAGGTGATGTGACCAGCAGTGTTCGCTAAATTAAAATTCTGCCTGAGGAAATACATTCCTAACATCCAAGCACACAAATATGATGTATAGTTTAAAAACAGAGCTACCAACTCTCAGTTGAGGTCCATCCCACGCCAAGGCAGGGACATGGTATCTGCAGAAAGGAAGAAGAAAGATCTGGAGTTGATCAATTCCAAGTTCCAACTTGTTATGAAAACTGGAAAGTTCATGACTCTGAGGATGAGCAGATGGAAGAGAGTGAGATTGCTCATCCTTGCCAACTGCCCAGCTTTGAGGAACTCTGAAATAGAATATGATGCCATGTTGCCCAAAACTAGTGTCCGTCACTACAGTGCCGGGGATACTGAACTGAACACAGCGTGTGGGAATGCCGCAAAATGAGCACACTGGCTGCCACTAGACTCATGTAGCGCAGGCTGGAGAAACGTAAACCAGGGGCGTTTCCAGTGAAAACTTACTAGAGCTTGTTTAAAAATAAACGAATATATAAAATTTAAAACAAAACAACTACCTACCAGTACGCTTAAGTAATGGAACATTTAAACCCAGGCATGAATGACTTAATGGTTTTTTTGATCCTGCTTAACACACGTTCAAGTTGAAAACTAAAATACAATCTACAAGAATTCCTGGAATAGCTAGACAAAAACCATTACCTTTGGGGAATAAAAGTGATCTGCTGGGTATGGTACACAGCTACAGTCCCTGGACTTGAAGCTCAGAGAACCCAAAAGTTCAAAGTAATTGTTGGCTGCTTACTGGGTTCAGCACAAAACTGTTACATAAGACTATTTTAAAAAAAAAAATGCAAAACAACAATAATAAAACGTTGTTTTATCCCCAACCAGAGGGATTTTCATTGAGCTCCCACACTGGTTGTGGGTGAGCAATGAGCCAGCTTCGTGCTTGTTTTCCTCTTAAATCGGGAGACACTTCCCTTGTTATCCTCTCTTCGTTATGCTGTGCTTCCTACACTCTGATGCCTTTTTGTCTACCCTCCTGTCGAAGGGATGAGGCTGATTCCAAAGGAATCCCAAAATAGGGAACAATGAAAAGGTACGGATATTCCCAGCATCCTAGAACAGCCTGCGAAGCAGCCAGTGGCAGGGCCCCTGCCTGGCAATTGGGAGGCCCCGGGCTCAACCTACGGTAGCATGCCCCTCACTCCCACTCCCCACCACCAAAAACAATTGTTTGGGATTCTAGAACATAGCTGCTGTGTTATCATAGAAACTGCTTCTCAGTCTCACTCCCCGTGGAGGTCTCTTACAGGAGTTTGGAGGGGGTAAATAAAGATGTTCTCCCAGCTTTGCTTCAAGCCAGCTTTGAAATACAGGTTCCCAAGGCACAGATTGGGGCTTGGATGAGGTCAAAGCTCCGGGGGTGGCCACTTCCTCTTCACCCCGTTTCCTGGGAGAACTGAGCTTGCAAAGGCTTTAAATTACACCGCAGAGTCGCGGGGGAATCGTCACAGCTGCTGGAACCCAGCCCAATCACAAGGACTAATTTAACACGATGAACTAAGGGAGAAACCAAACCGCAGGCTCCTGTTCCAAGAATGCAGCTTGAACCACACCGCACCATCTCAGCCATCGGTTCACAGCCTCCAGAAGTGTACTCCATCCTTTGGCAATGAGCCCGTGAGAAAGCACGCGGCCAGTCCCTCAGCAAGGGGCAAAGCCGGCTTAAGCGTTTCCGTTTTCTGCTTGGCTACTTCAGAAACTGCTGGCCCTGTCCCCTTCAAAAACGCAAGAATTTAATTCTCCTACCCCAGCTTCCCACACAGAAGATATATTTAGGAAGCCAACATTCTACAGTGGTTGAGTAGAGTTTGTATTTATTCCGTGATTCTCAGGATTACCTATTTGGGGGGAGAATAGAAGTTACACTCCATTTTAATGTCTCTCAAGATTAATAAGCATTGTCTGCTAAGTATAAGAGGAGAAGCCTAGTCCTCTATAAGGCTGGAGGACGGAGGATCTAGAGTATATTCAACTATAATCACTCAAATTTTATTATTTTAAGACATTAAGGGTTTGAAAAAATATTATAGTAACTGATACTTCTACAGTACAAACAGCACAACCTAACAAGTGCTGGAATTTATAACGTGCAACTTACACATTATACAGCTTGGTGTTGACCCAGAGAATATAAAAGAGCAAAGTAATTCAATAATTCTCAGACTTTTCCCACAAGGTATATCCTACAAACCACTGAGCAAGCTTTCAAAAAATTACTTTGGCAAGGCTCCAAACCATCTATATATGTTCTCTGAATGGCCACCAAATCCAAAGGATACACTCATCAGTGTGTGGACAAGAGAGAACATGTTGGCTGTTGTCAGTGTCCCGCCCCCAGTCTCTCCCATCCATAGTTCAGGAGGGTATTGAAGACATCCTGGGAGCAGTATCCAGGGATACAGGGCTCAACTCCTCTTTCAACGATCTCATTTCCCAGGTGTCAACTGATATACTTAGGCAAGTACTAAAAGAAGTTTCTGGAGAGGCTGTCCAGATAACAGTGTGATACTCAAGGGAAACTGAAATTGTCTATTTGTAGAGGTGACATCAGATTGTTGTGGACTTACTGGACCCTGTCTGTGAAAAGGCAAGTTCAGAGTGTACCATAGAGACACCTGTCACTACCATCATCAGAGGAGAAGACAAAGGCTTTGAAGTTATTGCTCAATTGAGTATTTTTAAAAAAGATCATTGTTTTCCAAATGCCTGGGCCTGATGAAGAGAACATCCAAAGGAATCCAGAAGTATGCAATGCATCTTTGGTTTTGCTTTACACATATAAAAATAAATCACTTAACCTTAAAGTTTTTATCTAATCAAGACTTTCACCAAGGAAGACTATTTATGTTGACTGAGCAATTGTTTTGTTTTTCCAAGTACTTCATCAGCCTCCTCAGTACCATCCATCATTCTTACCACAGTGTGGGGCAGCTATTGTTAACTCCACGTAATGGCTGATCAGAGTAAGTTTTGGAGAGTGCAAACTTTGAGTTAAACCGTAGTGACCAAAACATGGGCTGTAGCATGGACTTGGTCTTGCCTTGGACCGTGAAAAAATTTCATCTTTCCAGACAGAGAAAAGATATAAGTCCATCAACACTGTTCTAAGTAGAAAAAAAAAAAAACTTTTCCCTAAAGTAATACATTTTCAGTCACTCTTGAAGTGCACATCGAATACCACCTTTTTTGTCTATATAATATAAACCTGCTGTACCGAATATTGCTCCTGATACCCACAAGGGGTATGGAAACTTAGTCCCAAGGGAGGAATGTAAAATTGGCCTCCCACCTGCCCTTCTGCAGAGGCTCCGGGCCTAGAAATGAACATTACAGTAATGTTCATTTAATTCCACCTTACCCTGAGGTCTCTGACCCAGAATTTTGCATTAATAGAGACATCAAGAGAAAGGTTTGTCATTGCTATTCTTGCTCAAGGCTTTTTTTGGCTTCTGTGAAAATAGAAGCATCACGAATTACATGTTCAAACACGTCCACATTCTTGGCAAAGCAATAGAAAAATCTTGGGGGTCAAATCGGTGCTAGAGTATCTACCAAATAGATATTTTATAGCTACACTTTATAAATTACCAAGGAATGTGCAGGGACTATCAGAAAGTCCCAGCAAGTTTTACAAGGCGGTTCTAGAACTACATCATGGTAACCTTGTCAACCAGAAACAAAACAAAGCTCAACTTATCGAACTAATTTAAATAGCCCATGTGTTCTACAAAAAGGACTAAGAGAAAGATCAGCAAATTGATTTACACCCAAATTCGACCTCAAGTTTCTCATGTATAAATTGAGAATGGAACAGTTAGCTTCTATAATTATTGTGAGAACCAAATGAGATCACATGAAGAAAAATGGCGCTTGCCTGCTCCAGAGCCAATGTGCAGCTGTGGGACCTGATTCTGGAGTTTGCAGAGAGAACCGGTAGTCGTGTCTGGCATTGTTTGTTCTCTGCTTGGTGAGTTTCTAAGTCTCCTGTATAGTGACATCCGCAAGGCTCTTTTCTCTTACGTGTGTGTTTATTTTCCCATAGTGGGTTATGACAGTCAGTAAAAAAAATTTACAAGACAGAACTCAAGTCTAATTGTAAGGACGACCTCTTCCATGTAAAAAAAGGATGGTTCCTTTTGTACATAAAGCAGTTTCATTGCTGTTAGTGTGGGACTTCCTGATGTAGAATGGCTTTTCCATTCTCCATGGAATAGATTTTCCAACACCACACACACCAGGAGAAACAACAACAAAATCCTTAGAATTCATTATCTACAATTTCATGAGGGAACGGGAACCTGAATTGACTTCCTGATTTATTTTCAAAACATGTTGACCCCTGTTTTCACAGGATTTCCATTTTAATAAAGCAGCTTTGCGGTGTCAGTGTAAAACAGGGGGAAATATTCCCTTTACAATCCCTGCTATGTACTACCAGTAACACATACGTAGACAACCCCTGGCGGATAGCTCTCAAGGAATATGATGTGTGGTATGAGAATAGCTGAAAGAAAAGGAGCCTGAAAGAGGGAATACTGAATAGTTCTCCATGCTGAGAAGATGCTGGGCCAGTGTGGGAGTGGGCAGTGAGGTTGTGGAGAGCACAGAGGAAGAGGAAGAGGTCACTGATAGCTGGGGCGGGCATCCTTGGGATTACAGCACTGCCTCATGATAGCTGTGTGGAAACCATTTTACCTTCCCGCCTGCTATGCCATCTTTACTGAGACCTCCATAAGTGTTCATGGTCTCTTACACAGGCTGGCTACTGGAAGGGAGCAATGATAGCCCACATCTGAGTGAGTTGCTCTGTGTTGGTTCTGAGGTGCTACCCCAGCAGCTATGAGAAGTGACTGCTCTTCTAGAGGACCACACAACCCTCTGTAACTGCAGTTCCAAGGGATCTGACAATACCGGGCTCAAAGGAGGTACAGACAGGTGCATAGGCAGAAACCTTGTATACATAAACATTTAACTTTAAAATCTCCTTTGCCTATTGCCAGAATATGCCATCTAAAAAAATTAGAAGTAAATGAGCATCTTTAAAAAGAAGACTCTGGCCAGGCAGTAGTGACACACCCCTTTAATCCCAGCACCCAGAGAGCAGAGGCAGGTGGGTCTCATGAGTCAGCAAGTTTCAGGATGACAATCAAGGCTACACAGAGAAACCTTGTCTCAAAAAAAAAAGAAAGAAAGAAAGAAAGAAAAAGAAAAAGAAAGAAAAGAAAAAGAAACATTTCAATGTGTTCTACTGATGTAGTCTCCTGGGATGACCTTTTCATATGTCATCTAGAAACTATTTTCTTACAGGCTGGACTAACACTCTTCTGAAGGTTTTAATTCCCACTTGCTATGTTCCATTAGAGCAGTGGTTCTCAACCCTGCTAATGCTATAACTCTTTAATATAGTTCCTTGTGCTGTGGCATTCCCCCATCCATAAAATTATTTTATTGCTACTTTGTAACTGTAATTTTCCTACTGTTATGAATCCTAGTATAAACATCTGATATGCAGGATATCTGATATTTGACCCCAAAGGGGTTGTGACCTACAGTCTGAGAACCACTACCCTAGAAATTGTCATAGAACCGGGAAAGAAGCAGATAGTAGGGAAAAAATTAATTATTCCAAAGACTTGGCAATATGACAGATTTTCTCTGCAGCATCTAATACTATATCAGTAACTCAAAATGGAGCTAAAGTCCAATGGCCCAGAGACACTGTAGCAAAGGAAAGTGGGAGCAGGTACATTCTCAGCTCCAGATACTTTACTCTGAGCATTTGAAGTGCAAGTATCACAGCTGGATAAACAAGGCCCTCCCCTAGCTGCTTCTATCTGATCTTGGAGCTCTGAAATACCAATGTTTGTGACTTAGAAGCCCTCCGCCCTTTGTAGCAATTCATCTTTCCCACTTAGCTGCTTCCTGGCTCACTATTTGTGGCACTAAAGGAAAGCAGGCATATGTTTGCAGAGTCCTTACCTGGAGCTGCTGCTCTAGCTCTGGGAAGACCAAAGGAACAGCATCTTCAGACGGTGTATCATCTAAAACATGAAAATACAATGGTTACCCAGCATGCCATGTGTCTCCTGAGCATCACCCTTCATCTTCTGTGTAACACACACACGGGGGGGGGGGGGGCCCCACAGGGATCTGAGTTGAGCACACACACACATAAACAAAAACACAAACACA